GGTTTATGTCATATTTGCTTTATCACATTTTAAAACGTCAAGCATAATAACAAAACAAATATGTACACTGATTTTTGAAACATTATCTTTTCACATACCCCGCTATTATAATGTCAACAATTAACCATATGCGTATATGATATGAAGGAAAGTTAAGAGATCGACGTATGTTTTTAGAATTATTAGACATTTCTAGACCTGAGTATTTCTATGCTATACACAACTTTGAACAAAGCTAAATAAGTACATGTAAATGTAACATTTAATCTTATTTTTTGTAAGATTCATTTGAAATTAAAAAATAAATCCAAATGGCTCACTTACATACTGAAAAGGACAAGCATATAATAGATGTTTGGTGTTTTTGACAGAAAGAGGATTGCATTTTCATGAAGAAGTATCTAACGAAAGGCGAGATATTCTGCTGTGGTGATCGCCCTTGCCTGTATAGTTATCTGGGCATATAACACGATTATACATGTATAATAAAATTATGATGTCTGTTGTTATGCTTTATTAAGAAAAATGCACTTTATGAAAAGATATGCTTAATTATAAGCAACCGGTTCAGTTTTCTGAATCAAAAGTAATAGACATTCTCTATCATAGATAGCAGCTTTGGTAATATTTTAAACACGGTTGGTAGTTTATAAGTGATATCAAAAGAAGATTCTATTGAACTGGAATTATATGAAGCGAATCGAAATATTGGCAACAACAAAAATCTATGATGTAAGAATTAATAACGAGATGTTCTTCTTTTTCTCGCTTCTCAGGAAGCGGGAAGGCATATTATTAAGAGCTGATAAGGTCATTGTAACGACCAAAAAACTTGCGAAATGATCACTTCAAACGAGACTGTATATATTCTTGTTTCATCAACTTATTTATCAACGGCTTGTCCGTTTTAGAAATTGTTCTTTCGTAGAGCATGCTCTTGCGTATAGAATCAACTGAGAAACATAAAGCTCATATGCAGGTGATTAAGGTATATTGCTACATAAATAAGGGAAGTTAACGATTTAAAAGTTGAAGTCATCATGTTTATCATAAAGCTTGGTTGTTATGCTACCGTTAACGTCTTTTTCTAGTTAAATATCCAAATATGAAACAGATGCGTCAGACTCTGTGGTATCTTTTTATTTCAAGCTCATCAGGATATATCCAGTAGGCATATGAAAGGAAGTAACTACTGTTAATTGATAATACGTCGTCGATATATCTAAATGTCGAGCTGAAGGCCCCAACAAGTGTTTCTTTCTTCTTATGTAGAAGTTTTTGAATAAATTTTGCTTCATATGAATACAGAAATAGGTTTGCTAACAACGGGGTGCAATTGCTACCCATGGGAATTCCAATAGATTATTGGAAGACATGATCTCCAAAAGCTACATAGATATTGTCAGTCAGAAACTCAACTTAGAGTACTTTTGTGTGCTATCAAAATGTTTTTTAACAAAATAATTTTGCAAATGACCATTGAAACGGTAAGTATATTTACGAGTTACTTTTTTATTGAAAAAGCAACTGTCTATGATGTCAAAAAGCCTGGACTTTAATTTATCGTTGGGTGTAGTTGTATAAGGTGTTGAAAAGTCGTACGTTTTTATGTTATTGATTTTTGTAAAATTTTGTGATTTCAAATTTTGTAAAAGTTCTTTGGAGTTTTTAACTATCCATATCCGATTTACACCGCTTCTCAAATATACTGTTGTACAGTACTCCTAAAGTTTTTCCTTCACTGCTGTAAATAATTTAGTGAAAAGTAAAGAAAGAGGCTTTGTAAAATGTTTACAGGAACCAGGTATGTATCGTTCTTTCAGGGATTGATTGATTGATTGTATGTTGTTTAACGTCCCTCTCGAGAATTTTTCACTCAAATGGAGACGCCACCACTTGCCGGTGGAGAGCTGCAAATTTTGTCCTATGCTCTGCACTTACGGCCATTGAGCAGTGAGGGATCTTTTTTCGTGCCAACACCTACTGCGACACGGGACCTCGGTTTATACGGTCTCATCCGAAGGACCGGTCTCCACGTCCCACTGTGGGATTCGAACCCGCGACGTAAGGATCAACTCCTTACTCCACGACTCTATATTGCAGGGATAGTGTAATTGAAAATATTAATAGTAATTGACTGTAATTTATTACTAGCACAGTTTTTGAATTAATTGGAAGTAATTTGTAATTGATTATCTTTTTTAATTACTTGTAATTCAATTAATTAAACTTAAAAATACCATTTAATTTCAATTATTTTTCAATTTCATTTCAATTACGTTGCATAATACACATTTATGATTCAAAGTCGCCTAAACATCCTCATTTTACTGTCTTTTTTTCTCATAAAACATCCTAAATCCTTGAGTTATACAAAGTGTTAATATTTACATGCAAATAAAGAATTGGTTTCATATTAAAAGTCTAGTTTCCAAATTATTTATTTTCATAATGTAAATTTAGAATTTTATTTGTTTAGTGTTTCTATAAAATTTAGTTTTACCCTCCTTTTCAGCTATGAAACATTCAATTCTTTCTTATTTGATAAATATTGTCAAAGGATAGAGATAATTGCTCTCAAAATCACAACTGTAATTTGCAATCAAAACAAATGAACCCAACAAAGAGATATTCATTCCATGATTTGGATGATTAGCCAATAGAATTGATTATTTCAATTAAAATTGATCCATTAGCTTTAGAAAAGCAAAACTTTCGATTCAATAATTATTTAACACCTACACCAATTTTTAAGAATGAAATTTTGTATCTAAAAAAAGTTACCTACAAGTACAAATGTATTGGTTATGAAGTAAAAATGTACAATATCATTGACAATTTGGAATGTTCAGGTTACCTACAAATGAATAATTTTTTTTGGGGGGGCGGGGGGTTCAGTTGTGACTCATTTACTCTAAATACTCATTTTTAATCAAATGTCATATAAGGTATGCAATTTAATTCTGCAGGTTTTGTGTGGAGTAAACTACTCAAACTGATCAAGGATATTTCATAAATGTTTTGTAAATAAATTTAAAGTTAAAACACCACAAAGATACACAATGCCTAAGGTAAAATAAATTCATTTCTTGACATATTGTTTGTGCAGTGGTTCAGCTTATTCACGAACGTTCTGTATATTTATTTACAATGGTTATGAAATATACCAAAAAGGAAATAAATAAAATGTATTTTGTAATTTAATTAAATACTTTTGCAAAGTAATTGTAATTTAATTAATGACTTTTGAAAGTAATTGACCTCATCCTGGCCTGCTTTGTTTGTAAGGATTTTTATAGGGTTTTGGAATCCAGTATAGATATGGTAATTCAAATTTATTTTGATTATCGATATTATAAATATTTAAAACTGACATATGGTTTCGAAGAATTTCCTCCTGTATATGTACATTCCAAAACTTTTATGATTGATATTTATGAACAATTAACCTAACTTTCAATATTGACTACCACACTCTAACTGGATACAAGAAGCTACCAAGTATGTATTGCTATAAAGTTAACAAAATTGAACATTTTCCCTCCTTGGTAACCATAGCAATAGTGTCTTTTTCCATCAAACTTGATCAACATATGATATTTACCTTTAGTTCTATCATATAAGTCTAATTCAAGTTAAGACAAAATATGTTTCTTAATTGAAAGGTAACTAAATTCCTAAAGCAGCATAAAAAATCACTTTAAACCACTGCAATGATTTTCTACAAATTTTGTGGGATTAAACTGTGTCATTATGGCTACCGATGAAATTTCTTAAAGAATAATATTGCCAATAGCTTGATACAAGCAAATATTTTTATTGCTTTTCTTTTGTTGTTGATGAGTTTGATCATGTAACACCTGTCATTAGTGAATACTGAGCGATTTTCAGCAATTAAATTGTATTCAAAATATGCCCATGGTTACCAATTACATAGAGATATATTCTAAATTGTTTCTTTATAGCATAAGTGGCAGCATTGTGCAATGTTTTCGTTAGAGTAGTTTCTTTGTTATTCTTAGTCTTTAATAAGGCTTAATAAAGATTTAAAGTATCTGAATGTCTTAATGTCTCAAACTTTTCCGGCTTTTACCATGGCAACCAAGACACAAAGCAACAAAATTGTATTTGGTAAATATTTCTGGTGTAATAATGGGCAAAGTTTCATCAAAACGGTGACCATGCATGCCAAAAGAGTTTAAGTGGTTACTGAGAATAGCTCTTTACTCTTTATTCATGTTTTAAATAAAAAAGCCATGGAAATTATTAATTGAAAAGAAATCATCATGATGATGAAAGTATCATGTCTTAAGAGAAATCATGTTTCTGGAACATGCTCTCTTGGATGAGTACACTTCATAATGTAGATAAGACATTCACTGCCGGGATATCAGAGTTGAAATAAATGTCTTACTTTATATATATCATGGATCTCTTATGCTGTTTGATTGGACAACCCCGCGGTAAGCCTCATGGTGTCCTATTTAGACTATTTGGATATTAATACATGTAGGCTATAATGAAGAAGAAGCTGGTTTTTATTTTGATCTCCTTTGCAGGTAATACAAAATTTTGCACAATTCTTTTAAAGTTCTGTTTTGCGGAAAATTATTTCTGAATTTTGTCATTACTCAAAATTGTTATCAAATAATTGATGCAACAGCCTACACTTTCCTCTAGAAATAACAAACTAGTAGATTTTATCACCACCATTACGTCATAGTATATATTTCTGATATACATGTACTGAACTTTTATATCGACAGTGGTCATTTGGCCATTAAAACTTATATTCAAGTAATAGTATCATATATATCCTACACTATATTATTATCACTGATAATATAAAAGGTTACGTATACTTCTATCCGATAAAAGTACACCTACAACTTCACATCACTCTCTTTTTCTCTCCCTTAAAATCACACTAATAATAATCATGAGGATATTTATTCATATGTAATATTTTGTTTCATGTGGAAGGTTTGTGCCTTACGGCAATGGCGGACGATGATGATGATGATGATGATGATGATGATCACGGTAAGTTTGAAAAGGAATCTGATACCTAAAGTTTTTAATCTCTGATTGTAGTACTCATTTATTAAATTTTACCGTTAATATGTAATTAAACAGCTGACATGGTTAAATAATAGCTAAGCATTTAGCAGTTAATTTCTTTGCGCCTTCTCCCATCCTACATATATGAATAAAAAATAATCAATCACTCAAAGTTGCTTTTAAAATCAAGACATGTTAAGGCATGACGAAACGTTCCACAGTAATACTTAATTTGTGCATTGCTAGCTTAATAAGTTTTTCTCCCCCCTCCCCTAAAAAGAGGTACGTTATCATGCATTAAACAAGATTCATTTGAGAAACTTTAACCAAGAGATACCATATGGGGACATCAGTGTTTTACAAATATATCTGGTTTTACTATCATGTTAACATTGAATAATCTGCACATTCTGAGGATATTTAAGTATTTTAAAACGATTAATCATCGTCTTGTTTCTCTTGAGAGAAAGATTTTAAAATATTGTTTCTTTTATATTATAATTATCATATATGATCATCAGGTCCAGCTTAATCTCTTGCATTACCTATATACCTTGAATTAGCTATATATAGCTTTATTAAAGTTTTCAAAATAGCTTGATGGAGCTACATCACGGCCAGGAACACGTTAAGTTCCTAGACAGTACCGTTGTCAGAAACCTTTAAAGTTAAGCACTAAAACTGGTTCGTTGTCATGAACATACAGGTGAGGTTATGATAAAATCCGTCCGGTGTCATGACTTGAGAAGACAGGTTGTGAGAAGTTTTTCATTTTTCAAGTTAAATTTTCTATAACAATGTCTGAAATTGCAATGGGAAACAGGGCTGATACTTTATTTGGTGCTGTATGAATTTCAGCCGTTAAAAACAAGTAATAAAAGAGGAGTTTGCGTTGGCGATATTAAACCCTGTTGAAAACACATGTGGATTTTATTCATTTTCCTTCCGAGATGTTATATTTTTTGTAAATAGAATATAATATACACACCAATTGGTGCAGACAGTATCAAGATATGTTGTATGCCTTTACAGAAAAATTGAGAACAAATTAAAACTGAAAATTTTGATTTATTTAAATTTTTGTCCGTTGTCATGACAAGATACGAAAATTCAGTCCGTTGTCATCGGTCCGTTGTCGCTACTGTATTGTATACACTACGAAGGACAATCTTATGTTGTTTTAGGTATCGTTAAGCATGCCATCAAAAAGAGAGGTGTGACGGTACAAATTGTCGTTTTGTACATATTGTCGTCGGCGACAAAATGTACCTACCCTGACTGCACATATCGTTGTCCATCGATACATATTGTCGCCGACGACAATTTGTACCGAGACGAACCTTTTTCTTCCTCCTGCGTAATGGAAGACAAAATGTACAGTCAAGTATCGGCACGTTTTGTCGTCGACGACAATATGTACTGTGACTATTGGCACATTTTATCGCCGATGTGGTGTGTTGAATATTTACTACGGTCGTGAAGAGAGAGAGAGAGAGAGAGAGAGAGAGAGAGAGAGAGAGAGAGCTAGACAGACAAAAGGACAAAGTGTTTGGCTGATAAATAAGTAAACAAGTTGTATTTATTTAGCATTACTCGCAATACTGTAGGGAGAAATGGTGTTGCTCAGAAAACTGTGTCCAGCATTAGTTTACATGACTCTGATATGTCAAAATACCATAATTCTTGAGATATCTGAAAAATCAGTCTATTATTTATTCTCGTTATATATACATGGATATGAGATTGAAAGTTATTTGTTCAGTAGAATTGTTATCTGGAATTCATCTTTTTGCTTAATTCTCATACTTGTAAGTGCCTATATATTGGTGTAGGGGTTGACACATTTTTAGCTCACTGAGCTGATAGCTTCAGTGAGCTTTTCTGATCACATTTCTTGTGTCGTCCGTCTGTCTGTCTCTAAACTTTTCACATTTTCAGCTTCTTCTTAGGAACTACTGACTAATTTCATTTTCAACCAAACTTACCAGAAAGCAAATATGGATAAAGGGAGTCAAGTTTGTTCAAATTAATGGTCATGCCCTCTTTCAAGAAAGTACATGTATAGTTAAGAATTAATGAAAATTTAGTGACATCTTTAAATAATCTTCTCGAGAAGCATTGTGTCAGAAAAGTTGAAACTTATGTGAAAGCTTTATTATTAAGTGTAGATTCATTTTTATTCAGATCATGTCTGTGAAAGGGTGGGGCTACAATAGGTGAGCAAAGTTTTAATGAAATATCTAAGAATAATTCTTTCAAAATTTTCTTCTCAAGAACTTCTGGATCAGAAGAGATGATACTTATGTGAAAGTACATACATGTAGTATACTTTTAATTTTTTTAGATTCTGGCACGAAAAAGATCTCACACTTTTCAATGGCCCTGAGTTCCGAGAATAGGTCTAAATTTTTGGCCCTCCAACGGCAAGTGGTGATGTCTCCTTATGAGTGAAAAATTTTCTAGAGGGATATTAAAACAACAAACAAACATAAACAAAACCAAAATCATGACCCCCATAGGTAGGATGGGGCAACAATTGGTGATAAAAGTTTTCCGTTAGAATATACGGTATACTCTTTAAAAATCTTCTCAAGAACCAATGGCGGATCTATATCTAGCACTGGCGCATCCCACCCCCTCCCCAATCCCACCCTGCCCCCTCCGTTTGTTTTTTTTTTTTTTTTTTCCATTTTTCTTTGACTTTGTAAATTCTGATTTTTTAACCTGTATATACTCTCAATTTTGTCCACAGGTAAAATTTCATGATAAAATAATATACTTAACTTATACAGTAACACTCCTTCACACACAAACGATTTTATTTTTTGTTTGTCAAAAAAAAAAAAAAAAAAATCTGAACCACCCCCCTTTCCTCGTTCTGAAATTTTTGGATCAAATATTGCGAACAGCAGTAGGCCCGTGATTAGCGATGTTTATATGGAAGCATCCTCAGGTAGTGTAGATTCAAGTTTCTTTTAATCATGACCTGTGGGCCTAGGTTGGGGCCACAAAGGGCGATCAAAGTTTTACACGGGAATATATAGGAAAATTCTTTAAACTTTTTCTTCTCAACAACAGCAAAGCAATGATTAGTCATATCTATATGAAAACATTGCCATGCATTGTCAATCGACATGTACTGATGGACGGCAATATGCTCAGTGAGTGTTTGTACACATTGTCACCGGCGACAATATGAATAGGACGACAAAATGTACCGTCACAATCACATGAATCACGCTGCATGAAATAGCATACGTCAATGTGATTTACAAACCAATTACATTCACAAATCCACCAAAAACAAGAGGCCTATGGGCCACATCGCTCACCTGAGCACTTTGGTTCGGAAATAGCAGAAATCACTTAGGTATTCAAAAGTTTAAATATTAAAGTGGAGGGGGGGGGGGTATGATTTAGACAAACTTGAATCTACACCACCTAAAGATGCTTTTGAAGTAATATGACTGATAATGGCTTTGTTTTTTAAAGAAGAATTTTTTTTATTGATATATCCTTTATAATCCTTTGTTTAATTATGATCCCCTGTTTTGCTCCTCTGTTGGGTCATGATTTGAACAAATTTGAATCTACATTACCTGAGGATGCTTTTATTTTATTATGACCAATCAAATCTTTGTTGTTCTTGAGAAAAAGATTTTTTAATGATTTCCCCTATGTATTCCTATGTTAAACTTTGATTTGAATAAACTTGAATCTACACTACCTGAGGATGCTTCCATATAAATATGACCAATCATGGCTTTGCTGTTCTTGAGAAGATTTTAAAAGATTTTCCCTATGTTATCCTATGTAAAATTTTGATAGCCCACTGTGGCCCCATCCTACCCCCGGAGGTAATGATTTGAACAAACTTGAATCTACATTACCCGAGGATGTTTCCACATCAGTTGCATATTATCGACCGTTGTATTGCCCGATTTTTATCTCTCTTTTTTTCGTCGGCCGACCAATTTTATGCATGTCAATCGGGTCAAGTTATTTTTTTTTCGTCTGTGGCCGATTCAATTGAAGCACTCATTGAATAGTCCGTCCACCAACCTTCGATCATCGGCCGACCATCGGCATATAGTTTTTAAAGTCGGTCGTCAGTCGGTCGACATTTAGGAATTGGGTTTTCGTACAACTGTTGACCGAAGATGAAAATCAAACTGCAGCCTAGCGAACGATGATCGGGTGACGGTTGGCCAACTTATAAGTATTAATTTTTTACTTTTAAAAGTATCAGTGTTCCTAGGAATTAATATGACTACTCTGCGTCGCCCGATACTAGTGTCGGCCGATCATGTTTTTTTCAGGCGACGATACGAAAATAATCTGGTCGCCCGACCATCGGCTTAAATGTGACCTAAGCATAACATTTTAATTTTGTTATACTGATGATATACAAGGAATTGTATATGTTTACATACTAGCTAGGACGCAGGTTCCTAAGAGAAAATGAATTGAAAATAAAAACATCACAGAATAGTTAGCACGTTGGTGTGAGCTGCTTTAAGACGACCCCGAGATTCAAATATACATGTATTTGTAATATGCTTTGTTTTCTTTTAAATTAAGCATATATTTGATCATTTCTGTTGCATTTTATTGATTTACTTACATGTTAAGAAAAATGACACCGGATCAGATAAACTTAACATGTACTGACAACGGACTTTTTGCTTATAAACTGTGATTTCTTAAAACACGTTAGCTACAAAAGGCTGTCAGTTGCCTAATACATTGAAAATGAAGTTTCTCTTCATATTTTAGAATAAAGATACCATTTCGATGAATTAATTATAAGAAATATATAATTTTCCAGCTCATAATCATGGCTTCACACATGGGCATGTGATCGCCAACCAAAACTCCTCAAAATGTATTGTGGATATCAAATACATAAATCTTTATATGGAATACTGAATGTTGTATCTGTTTCCCAAAATACAAATTTATTCTTGGAATTTGTCAAAAACGTTAAAATTTAGGCATCATGCATAAATTCTTATATATATTGCATGACACCGGACGGATTTTATCATAACCTCACCTGTATGTTCATGACAACGAACCAGTTTTAGTGCTTAACTTTAAAGGTTTCTGACAACGGTACTGTCTAGGAACTTAACGTGTTCCTGGCCGTGTATATGCAGTTTTGCATAAAAATGTCTTTGGTAAAAATAGAGAAAAAGTCGCAAGTATTAGACTATTTATATATGTAATGTAGACTATCAAAAAAGTAACCCAAATCAAAGATGGTTCTAACATTGCAGCATTTAAATACTTTTATTTTTACTTTCATAGTAAATTTGTTTGGATAACTAAACACCCCTTGTGTGCGTTGAGGCATGGATAAGTATGACAACGGTACTGTCTAGGAACTTAACGTGTTCCTGGCCGTGTATATGCAGTTTTGCATAAAAATGTCTTTGGTAAAAATAGAGAAAAAGTCGCAAGTATTAGACTATTTATATATGTAATGTAGACTATCAAAAAAGTAACCCAAATCAAAGATGGTTCTAACATTGCAGCATTTAAATACTTTTATTTTTACTTTCATAGTAAATTTGTTTGGATAACTAAACACCCCTTGTGTGCGTTGAGGCATGGATAAGTATGAATGCTTCACATTTAACTAGAATTATTAGCATTACCAATCAATCAACTTGTTGACCAGAACTGACCTCCTTTCATTCAAGAAGTAACTGTGTGGTTACAAATCAGTTGCCTTATATAGCCCTATAAAATTTTTAGAACTCTGAGTACAAAGTCTCTCAAGATGACGCAATTTGAGGAAATTATATAGTTTTCAAAAGAGTTCTAGGTTGAATACTTTCAGTGTACCAAAATGCTACTTTTTGTACATACTGAAAAAATAAAATATTTAAGAAAAAAAGTGTGGTAAAATTGCTTGATCAAAGGGACACCGTGACGCACAAACGGGAAAATTGACAAACAAAAATTTTTTGCATGACCCGTGCATTTTTTTGTTCAATTCCTGAAAGTATTAGGTTTCAGAAAATTACAGGTTTCGGAACCTAAAAAATCTACCTTTATGGAAAAAAAAAAATTTTGTATGGCCCAACACAAAAATATTCCTTTACTTCTTCCTCCTTATAGTACGCGTGCGCAGAAAAGTTGAAGAAGTTACCATTGTCTCAAGCACCAAAAAATGATTGTCGGTACACCAAAATTTTTGAAACAATATTCAAAAAAAAAATTTTTAGCACATATTTCACACCTTTGCATGCTCCAATTCAATGTTGTTTACAAGTTTACGCTAAAAGTGGCGTGACCTTGACATGCACGGTAACAACGAAACGGTAGATACAACCTTGTTTTTCCGGCACTTATATTGTGCGGTCTTTTCTTGTTATGCAGTGCAGTTTAGTTGTCATATCTTCGCTGAAATCATAATTTTCATAAATCTTTCGCTTTATGATAGAGATATCTTACAAGAAACAAATGAATTTGACTGATTATGTAAGTTATTCTGAAGAGCTTAGTAAGCTATATAGCTAATTTAAGCTATATATTGATAAATCAATTAAGAGACTGTGCTGGACTTGATCGTATCATGCTACATGTAATACTTACATTGATCAGTGACATGTAAACAAAAGTTTCTTCAGTCTGTAATGACAGCAAAATGGCCATGGTGGTGATGTTAATGGAGTAATTTACACATACTAAATCACTGATTTTCATTCATTCGTTTCATTCATTTATTTATTTCGCTCACACCAACATCAGTAGTACATGAGGTACAGTATAGAAGTAAGTCGTCATAACTGTGAAAAAATAATAAATAAATACATGATACAAAGCATAAATGAAAGGCATATACATATATACAGAGTATAGCAAAAAACATACAATGAGAAAAGAAAAGAATGGGATGATGACATATAAATTGTGGAGGACAGACGGTGTCGTTTATATTATATACGAATATACAAAGCTTTTTTTTTTTTTTTTTTTTTTTTAAAGATTTTGAATTTTTGGTTGACATAATTTCAGAAAACTTACGGTAAGTGTATTTGGCGCTTTACAAAATCTGGGGTGTAAAAGATTCTTCCTGATGCTGTTCAATGTTTTACATTTATATATTTACATTTTACAAGTTTAAAAGCACCAATAATATACTTAATGTTTGAATTATTCGCTGCCCTATATCGTTACATTTTTATTAACGTCTCTGTAACTCATTGTGACCACAGGTACTTGTGGACAGGACCCCCCCCCCCCCCCCCCCGAATATATCTCACAAGTCAAAAAAATATTTTTATGTATTTTTTTTCATAAATTATTTTTCTAGTACACATTTACAATGTATTCCATAAGAAAAATCCAAAAAATAACGCAGAATTAACGTTTTACTAAAAAATCAAACCTGCGGTATTATAAAATAGAGAAGGTAAGTTACTTCCATCTGTTTACACTTGACCCCTCTTGGATATCAGGCCCGAAATATCATTTACCTAATATATGTCACCAAAATGTGTCATGATATCTTGTTTCGGTAGATATTTTTGTCTTTTATCGTGCTATTTAATTGCCCAGGCATTCCATAATAATCCGAGTATTCATCGTCAAACTTGAAAAATGCAACAAGATTTGGAAATGTTAAAGTAGAAATTACGGAAGTGATGCAAAAACGACACCTAGCGTGTAACTCTCGAGTTCCGAGTGTTATAGAACTAAGGGAAAAGTCAGAGGTCTACGAAAAAGTTCGGGAAAATTTTGATAAAGAAGTTGATTCATTAGAATTAAATTCTGCTTAAGATTTTCGAGATGAGCGAGGGTAGTCGTCAATATTCCCTTTTAAGGATGTTATCACTGATACCAAATAGCGGTTTAAAAACCACTCTTAAAAAATCACTCTTAAAAATTTTGTAAATTTGACGTTTTGATGAGTTATTTATATCACTGCGCCATTTTTGGATAAATTGGTCGCTTAATCTTTGCTTCACAGCATCAAGTACCCAATTCCTGCCACTGGAACTTTGTTCATACCAAATGTTTGAGAATCCACAACAGGTTAAAATTTTATAAATAAAATCCACCCATGGATTTTTTGGACCTCCTTAAAAATATTGAGACATAGATATTTATACAAAACACAATCTATTTTGTTTTCTGAAGAATTCGAGGCAAGTAATTTTAACCAGTAAGAGATCATTCTTGTAAAAACATTAATATACAATGGGAATCGCTCAGTCTCTCCATACACCATAAGGTGTACGGCTCTTTAAATGGAAAATATGTTTTATAAGTTTTAAATGTACCCGCTCAATGATGTCAAAGTTTTCATATCCCCAAATTTCTTTAAAACTTTTGAATCATTCATTCATTTATTTCATTTTAAACTTGTATGAATTAAACTTGTTAGAATAAACCTCTGTTCTTATTTCCTTCAGCCTAAGGACAGTTGATTTAATTTTTAAAGCGCTCGACTGACTTGGACTAAAACACGAAATACATGTACAACTTATCCAGAGCTAGATAAATATAAAATACATGGTTACTGTCTTGAAATATAAGCGATATTTGGGCGAGGGTAAGAAAACGTGATAGAGGGCGAGGCTTGCCGAACCCTCTATCACGTTTTCGACCCGAGCCCAAGTATCGCTTATATTTCAAGACAGTCTCCATGTATTTTGTTTATCCTGCAACACACTTTTACAGGACCTCCAAAACAGGCTTTTTTCAACCGATTTAGGTACATCTCTGCAGTTGAAACTAAGACGCCATGGCGTAAACATTGCAATATTCATGACGTCACAATGCTTTTAGAACGTTGGAATACGTGCACGAGGCTTTATCAGGGCATTGACCGAATAAAGCTTTGGTTTATTAGGTTACCTTTATAAGGTCAATACAAGGTGCTTCATCTTCCTTTTAATCAATTTCAACATTATTTCTAACAGGATGTCACAAGGACTCGGACTGCAGACATCATTCGTGCCACACTAATTACAGGCCGTTCTGCCATCACCATAAATGCCACTGTAAAGGTATATGTCTGATAGTGAAATGTCAGTGTAAAGGTATACGCGTATGTCTGATAGGGAAATATCAGTGTAAAGTTAAACGCGTGTGTCTGAAAGCGAAATGACAGTGTAAAGGTTTACGCGTATGTCTGATAGCGAAATGTCAGTGTAAAGGTATACACGTATGTCTGATAGCGAAATGTCAATGTAAAGTTATATGTATGATTGCAAAATGTCAATGGAAAGGTATATGTCTGATACCGAAATGTCAATGTAAAAGTATACGTCTGATAACGAAATGCTACTATAAAGGTATCTGTATGGTATCTGCCAATGTAAAAGTATCTGAATGGAATCTATATGAGTGAAATGCCACTGTAATTGCATAAAGGTGGTAGTGAAATGTTATTGTGAAAGTATAGCTATGTTCAACTAGTGCGTTCCTAAACCACCACTGTAAGATGTAAAAATCCGTGCTTATGAAGTGTTTATATGATTGTATGTACAATATCATACTAAATACTAATGAATCCTCATATGGTCTTTCAAAATTTTAATCATTTCAATGTTAAATTATGTTACATATTTTCAGTTAGGACATGGAAAAAAAAATTGAACAAGTGATTTATAATATAGAGTCAACATAATTTCAGCACATATGTAGAATCGAAGTTTGAAGCGATACCTTGCAGTATGATACAAATATCTTAAATGAAACACATGACTTCGACTCTTTCTGTAACTTTAAAGAAAAAAGGGGCTAATGCAAAAGCTTAAATAATGCAATTGTTTGTAGAGTAATTCAAAGGAAATTATACAGGTTACTAGTTTTTTTTTTATCTTGTAAGAATTTACTATACATTTTCACTGCAGCCTTGCCAACAACCACCAAGCCAACTACCATCCAGCAGTGTTCCAGAAGCACTGAATGTTCTGGTTGCCCGAATCAGAAAGTTGGACAATGTCATAATCACAGGTGTACCTGCATAGGTTTGTAGGTTTGTTTGTTTAACGTCCGTTCGAGAAGTTTTCGCTTATATTAAAACGCCGATGGAAGGCTGAAAATTTAGATTTGTTCTTCGCACTAATGGCCTTTGAGCTGTGAGGGATCTTTTTTTCGTGCTAGCACCTACTGCGACACAGGACCTTGGTTTATATGGTCTCAGTCAAGCATTGCATGTACGATATTTTGAATTTTTGACTTCCTTAGAAAATTTGGGGCCTATCAATGAATAGAGTCAAGGTCGATTCATTGTGTCACATTCTGGAATACGACTACATGAGGGTCGTTCAATGGGTAGTTCAAAAGGTCATCAAAAAATAAAATAATAAACACAAAATTCAGTTTCTTTATATATCTAGTAAGCCTTATAACTATTCCCTGTTAACATTTGTATATGTCTCAAGTCTCTTTATTCATAATTAGAACACCTCTGCATACTCTTTTTTGGGGGTAAACCAAAAAGGCACTGATGGATAGAACAAACCACGTCAGATCTTAAACGGTAGTGTCTTTGATGCTATTCTTACGTTTTTTGGTACAAGAAAATGACGGAAATCTATCCAATACGGGGTATGGCAAAACTCTGTAAATGTTCCTATCTTCAATTTTTCTTTTCTTCTCTAAGCCTATTTGCAGCAGCATGTCAGCTACAATAAAATCACCCTGGGTATTTGAACTTTCCTTGCAGAAAATATGATTATCTTTCCTCAATACGAAGGACATTTAAAAAGTTCTGAGAAATTTTTGATGAAAAATTTAATGTTTAATGGAAGTAAGTGAGTTTGAGATCATTGAAAAGATCAGAAAATATAAACACATACTGTGACGTAACTTTGTAAATTTTATGACCTAAAAACTCCGAAAATGACGCCAGAATCCTGCGTGTTTAGCTAACTGACCATAAAAGACATGCTTTCAGCAAAATTTTAACGCCAACTTTCATTCATTACTGTAGATTCCTTATTTTACGCGGGTACTTAATATCGCGAAATGGCCCTTAAACGTCAAATCGCAAGAACAATAATTCGGGAATGGATGGTTGATCAACTGATTTTACATGGATTTCAGCACAATAAAAATAAAAACGAGTAATTTTATTTCGCAAGAGATGGTTCTCGCGTAATTACGCGATAATTAATTCCTCGCGAATATTTAGGAATCTACAGTACTTGGGTGTCCGCAAACGGACACAATGGCCAGTTGGAAGAAAGTTTTCATACATGTAGACTAAAGTCTATCATTTGGAGTATTATTCAGGAGCTCTCGAGTTTCTAAGGTGGTTTAAGAGTGTGAAAGGCAAAGCATGTTATTATGGAAATTGCACGAAATATTTGGTAAAAAAACGTTGCTGTGAGAAAGTGACAAGGTTGACACTCACATAAGAATAGTGGGTGGTGTTGCAGAACATGCTGGAATTACTTCGTCAGATCTTGTAACCAGTTGCGGGAAAGATTAGAGCTAAGGAGAGGTTTTGCTAAGGGTGTTCCATATTTTCTCAGAAAATTCAAAATGGCGTCCATAACCTGAACAAATCTGAGGGAAGACTTTTGTAAGTTTTATTCAAAAACGGTAAAAGTCCTGTTACTTAACAAACATTTGTGGAAAACTGCTTTGCTACACTTCAGTTTTATACAGAATATGTTTTGTTTTATTAATACAGTGGAGAGCTTTACAATAGACCGAAAGTCCAGCTATATCAAATAAATAAATATTTTTTATGAATGTCTATGATAAGTAACCGGTCATAAACTGTGTTTATAAAAGAACAACCATAAAATGAAATATGGAATTGCTGATTTACAGTACCATTCTTACAGTGTTACTCTAGCTTCATGCAATCTTTCTTTGAAAAATCGTTTCAAAGCAGCCTTTGACAGCCCTTTCTAATGTGGGAAAAAAAATTGAAAAAGAAATTAAAAAAATAATCCCGCAACAATTCATTATACTAAACACATGGGATTCTGACGCGATTTTCAAAAAAAATGAACCGCGGTTTTCACATAAGCATTCATTTTCATCTTCTTGGCAGAGACCTTTTTTAAACAGTTTTCAGCTCAGTGAAGTGAATTTCTTTGCGAAGACAAAAGAAAAAAAGCGGTTTTTGGTGTTTATAGGAGTTCTTAAATAGAACTTTTCTAGTGTGAAAAAAAATTAAAATTAACTGCTTCAAACTTATTATGATATACCGTATGTTGTATTACTTATTGGACCACCTTCGTAGTCTGATACCCTTCCCAAAATTTTGTTCGTGCACTCTACATTGAGGACTGTGGAGTGTACACGAACGGAATTGTTGGAAGGGTACCAGACTAAACAAATTGTTTTGAATGAAATAAATGCTTTATACATAAAAAAAATTATAAAGAGTAACTATATTTTTATACATTTAGTGAAGAATAGTCATTTTAACACGATGAACTTAATTATCTGTTTTACATATACAATAATCATAATATTCATGAAAAAATATTCCTTTAACATTTCTGTATCAAAATGAAGAATTTATATTGCTGTGTGTTTTATATATTCTTTATAATATATACAATCAGGCGTATATAAACTTAAAATTTAATTAAAACAACCTTTAAACAACCACAATTTAAATCTCACATTTACACCGACTCATCATACGAATCGTTTCCGGTGAAGTTAGCAGCAAACACGAAGAACATCGATTTCCATGATTTTTTTAACGATGAAGGACGACATGATATAAATTCATCAGTTAAAACAGCCATTCCTTTAGTATCAAAGGTGAGTAAGTATTGATTGAAGAGTTTAAAACTGGTTTTAAAATGCAATAATTCATATTCTAATGACAGCAACATAGATCTACAAGGTTGAATATAATGTATAAGCCGTTATATATTAGACTGAAACTTGTTTAGCTTATAATTTTGTGTTGTTCTGAAGTGTTTAAATTTTGATAATCACCCCTAAGTAACATTCAAAGTAAAATCAAACTTGGCATAGTTATAGAGAGTAATTTTTTGCATAACACACTGAATTTTTAGGGTACTGGACCATAGTTTTCAGTACTTCGCTTTGATGACCCACTTGCAGTAAATCCAATCATGCATTGGGGAGAACAAGATGTTATTATGCCCCGCGAACAACTGCTTTCTATCTGTATGGGACAAAAACCTACAGATAGGGTAGTAAATATAGTGAATATTGCTGTACCATAAAATTGCTTGTAAACTTCTAACTGCATCTTTTCAGATTGCATTCACAAAAGTTTGTAAAATTTAATTCATAAACTATTAAACTACATGTATCACATTTACATATATTCGCTACATGTAATTTTACCAGGAAAGTTAAAATAATGTGTTAATTCTTTATATGTAAATTCACGTGTCCTATTTTGAAGTACATATTCAATTGTATGAACTGATTTTTTTTTTCCACATCATTTTTAGCTCTACTGATCAAAGACGAGAAGTGCTTATGCGATAGTAAGGTGTTCGTCGTCTTTCCTTCTGTCTGTCTGTCCGTCTGTTAACAATTTTTCAAAACGCTACTCCTCCTACAGTTTTGGGTCTGATTTCAATACAATTGGCACACAAGTAGAGAACACTAAGATACATAATTCTAAATATTGGTTTTTTATTTAAATGGATGGTATTGCCATGGTTACTAAAAATAGAAATTTCTGTGATTTTAATTTCAAAACGCTACTCCTTCTACACTTTTGGTATGATTGAAATATAATTTGGCGCACGAGTTGACTACACTAAGATAAATTATTCTATTTAACCCTTTTGGATTTTGATGAACGGTGTTGCCATGGCTAATTAATATAGAAATTTCTGTGAAAAAACTTTCAAAACACTACTCCTACAGTTTGATCTGATTTTAGTAGAAATTGGTATGTAGGTAGACTACATTGAGATATATAATTGTCTTTACCATTTTTTTAATGAATGATGTTGCTATGGTTACTAAAAATAGAAATTTCTGTAAAATTCTTTCAAAAGGCTACTCCTACAGTTTCATTCTCACTGTCTGATCGCAATAATTCTTGCCACAAAAAAAAGATTAAACAAAGGATATTCTTTTTATTGCTGTTTTAAAGTTTCAAGTCTAAGTGCTTCTTTTCTCTTTCTTTGTTAAAAATACAAACCAAAAGAGCTACAGTCCCGTCAGAGACTTCTGGTTTACAACAAGATAGAAGGTAGTAAGTTGAATACAGCCGTACATTGACCATGTCAACAAGTCTAAGGAGTTCCTCCAGTCTTTAAGAGAAGTAGCTGTTGATGAAAGAATGGTGGCCTCAAAGCAAAAGCGCTGTGGTTTTCAAGTCTGATTTAGAATTAAAGTTTTTAAATACTAGCACTACCATTACATAACGTCATTTTTATAATCAAGATTACGAGGTTTAATGATTGTTTTTATACTTCTTAGTCAGAGAAATCTTAAAAGAGAAAAAAATCGTGTCAAAGGGTATATTTTTCCAGTTAAATTACAGGTAGGGAAGAAAGTAAGATAAGTTGATTTTTATGGCATCAAAAATATGGATTGTATTTGTTCAAAAGAGAAATTTTATAGTGGTTATTATTATGTCATCTCTGTATCACTGTTCAGCCAGGACTTTTTGTGATTTTACATTGTAATTCAGATTAACTTGAGCGAGGAAAGAATTTTAAAAACCTTATTAGCCAGAGCTTACCAGAAATGTATGGGAGCTGTTGGTTTGTCAATTTAATACTTGGACTGGAGGAAAGTACTGCTTTCCCAATTTACTTGCTATCATATTTTTTCTCAACAAAGTAAAACCAGTTTACAAATTGTACTTTGAATAGCTTGATTTCTTCTTGAATAGTTTCCATTTTCAATAACTAGTATTGCTTGAAAGATTAGGTAAAGTGTTTCATATCAAATATGGCTAACAAATGCGTGGAACATAAATTAAATGAAAGGATTGTAATGAAAAAAGTATTTATTTGAAAAAGGGATTCCAAGTTACAAAACTTTTTTGCATTGTCCACATAGGATAAAGAGGTTTCTATAAGCTTATCAAATGTGAGAAACATTGTTTTAACAAGTGGCACAAAAAAGATATATGAAACCTGCAAAAAAAATGTATGATATTTCTTGTAAGGAAAGAAAATTATAAGTATTTTTCTATATTCTACTTGACAAAGAAAATTCTGTTGGTGTTTAAAATTGAAATGTACGTAGCTGTATTTTGTAATTTTTGAAAATATACTGATATTGCTAACATCATTTTTTTTTTACATATTGTTTTAATAGTGTGTGTCGTTGTGATTAAAATACATATAATCACAAGTTACATATTTTATTTAAGCTCACTTAATTTTAATATTTTTTGAATGATGCTAGTAACAAAGATATACATAATTATAATAAAAAATCATTCTTGTATTTTTTTGTGGATTTTGTCTTTCAGAATTTTATATTTGAGACTTTATTTGAATAATCATGTTATATGTCTATAAAAAACCAATCATATTTCCAAAAACGATTAACGGCCAACATTTTTGAGGCAAAAATATGATTCTTCGGGCGATAGTCGGCAGTTTATCGGGCCTTGTCTTGCCCGATTTTGACATCTTTTTTCGTACACCGACCAATTTTGTGGGCCAAGTTATATTTTTTCTGCGTAGGTGGCCGATTCCTTCAAATGAAGCAGTCGTTGAATAGTCCGTCGACCAACCTTCGATCATCGTCCGACCATCAGAAGACAGTTTATTAAGTCAGTCGATCGAGATTCAGGGATTCGGTTTTTGTAATACCTAGGTCACATTCAAGCCGATGGTCGGGCGACCAAATTTTTCTTGTATCATCGGCCGACACTGGTATCGGGCGACGCGGAACAGTCACATTAATTCCTAAGAACACTGATGATTTTCAAAAATTAAATAATTCTAAGTCGGCCAACAGTCTCTCGATCATCGTTCGCCAAAGCGCAATTTGATTTTCACCGTCGGCAGTCATTTACGAAAACCCAATTCCTAAATGTCGACCGACCGACGACCGACTTAACAAAAAGTCTGCTGATGGTCAGACGATGATCGAAGGTTGCTCGAAAGACTATTCAACGACTGCTTCAATTGAAGGAATCGGCCACCGACGCAGAAAAAATCACAACATGGACCGACAGACACAAATTGGTCGGCCGATGAAAAAAGAGGTCAAAATCGGGCAAGACAATGGCCGATGAACAGCCGACTCTTGCTCGAAGAATCCTATTTTTGCCCCCCAAAACGTCGGCCGTTGGTCGTTTTTAGACGGGGTAACGTGACCCCGTCTATAAGCAAAATGTCAGTTGAGACATCAAAACGGAAGTCTTGCGGAGTACACAGGAACTGAATCTACATGTACGCTTAATGAAAGAGTGCAGAAATTGTTTTGATTAAAATACAAACACTCTAGATCAAACCAAAGAGAGTGATATGAAGATTTTCTTACTCAAATTAAAGAAGCGTCTTGAAAATTTTAACATGAAAAAATAATAGTATACAAACTAATCGGCTGCATAATACAAGACTGCGTACGCATCATCGATTGTTTAATTCCGGAAATGTCATATAATTCCTACTGAAATTCGAACAATTCAAAAAGGTTTTTTGACTAGTGATTACTGATTAATTTATTATACAGTGTAATTGAAAAACGTAAGGATATATTTTTCACAGTTTTTAAAAAAAAAATATGTTAATATTATACAAAAACATTTAGTTGGTATCAAAGCCTTACAAAAAAAAATTCAACATGCAGTAATAAAATTTGTAGAATAATGAAGTTTATTATTTGACCCTGTCTATCAGTACTGTATCAGTAATCTGATTGAAAATGTGACTGGGGTTTAAATGTCGGCTGACGATGAAAATCAAACTGCGGCTCAGCAAACGAGTATCGGGCGACGGTTGGCCTACTTATAAAATTTTTAACTTTTAAAGGCATGGGTTTTCCTAGGAATCAATGTGAGTACTCTGCGACGCCTGACACTAGTGTCGGCCGAGAGCTTTATTAGCTGACGATACGAAAAAGAATTGGTCGCCCAAACATCGGCTTTTAATAAATGTGACCTAGGTATAAGTCGTAATAATTGCAGCACTTCAGAATTGATAAGTACTTGCAATTTAAGGCTGAATTTTGTATCTCCTAAAAATAGATTTAACAAGGTCAACATTTAAGACAATTTAGCTGCTGTTTATCCTCTTTAATATTATGACCCCATATCTGACTTTAAAATGTGATGGGATGCATAGATGTGTTTAAAATAAGCAAAAACCAAGAAATACTGCTCGAAAATGAAAAAAAAAACAACCCGTTACTGAGCAAACCCTTAAAATTCATCACATATATTAGCGGAATTGAAAGAATTTCAGATGATTAAGCTCAGTATAACGCTCTTTTGTGAGTATATTCAAAATTCCTTATTTCAACATACATTATTGCAATTCTTAAGCAAGAAGATTAAATTCAATAAAATTTAATACTTATTTCATCTTTGACCAGTATTCCCACAAGTAAGGGCAGTCGGAAGGTATCTGAATGGTCATTTAATATCATCTTAAAAAATTCCTACAAACTGGTATATATTATGTGAAATATCCTTTGTAACTAAAAAAGTTAAGAAATTACTTTTTAATGATATGTCAAAGATCTCAGATCTCTAGAGAAAGGGATAAAATACCTAATTATGTTCATCAGACGCAGAAAGTTCTATGGGTACTAAAATAGAATTCTCTGTGATTTCTTTTTTCAAAGGCTACTCCACCTACAGTTTAAGTCCGATATCGAGTCTAACTTTTATCATTATTACCTATGATGTTTAATTAATTAAGTCATAGAAAAGCATAATACTATATAATAATCTGTAGGAAAACCTTTCTTTTCTCAGCCTAATGCAACATTTATGAAAGCTTTCAATACAAAAAAAACTGAGCAATAATTTTTCTATTTTGTATTCGTACAGTATAAATGTAAAAAAAATGCTCCAAGTTTGCTCAAAATAAATAGTATAATATAAAATACAGGAATAAAAGATTTATACATCCACAGTTCCTCCTACAACGACATCGTCAACTTCAACATCAGTGTCAACCACAAAACAAACAACACCTAAGAGGACAACAACATTAACAACAACAACAACAACAACAACAACAACAACAGGCCCAACAACTACACATTTAGGTTTTCCAAACTTTTAAAGATATGTAACTTATAATAAGTATAGCATACGACTTATTACAATGAAAAACCACCAATGCTATGTTTCAGGAAATGAATAACCCCTCTTCTTTACAAAATATGGTACTTTAAAAAAACCCCGAAACAAACCAAAAAAATTGTAATTGCAAATTTCTTTTTACTTGAATGTGATTCAGTGTATATTCCTGCAATTATAGTAAGAATGCTAATTATAAGTAGTATATTGCCAGAATTATCAATAAAAATATACTTTAAAAGATATACGTATCTCAATATTATTTTAAAAAGTTGTGTTTAAATTTTTTTTCGTTTTCTTTTACTGATGCAGTTAGAAAGTGTCACACGTGTGGAAACGCTAATAACTCTTTGCCATGTGACACGAGGACCATCTACTTGGGTAATTTACAGAACTGTGCACCGGGCGAGGATTTCTGTATGACTGATATCGTCCACGATGGAAGTGCTTATCCTAAAACCTTTAAAAGGTATGTGGAAAATCTAAGTTATTTTCCCTTAGAATTAGCAAACTAATTCTCATTTGAAAGGAAATATCTCAGATATTTAAATATAGGTATCACCTGAATTGAAAAATCAAATCTCGCAGTTTTGACATGTTACGATTTTCGTCTACTAGATGCGTGTCGGAGCAGGAGTGTCGAAATAAATGGCTCCACCAGACGTCTGATTTAGACTACTGTCTGCACTACGGAAGTGTTCCTATGTCAGGACAGTACAGCTGCCATTTTTGTTGTGTAACAGATGGATGTAATGCCGGACAGGTTCCGGATAAATCCACCTATTATTCTAAAGCATGAAATCATTTATGAGAATAATAAACAGAATCGTACAATTTTCACATGAGTTCAATTAACAGAGACCCCGAAACGCTGAACTAATTCTAGACAATTTCTTAAATGTTCCATACCCAAATGACAGTTGAAAAGTATTTATCCCATAGACATATCATCTGAGTTTTCTCATGGTGTGTAAGACGTTTTTTGCATAAGAGGAACTAGAGATAGTGCTGTAAAACCCTGGAGCCCGTTTTACAAAAAATTTACGACTAAGACCAAAAAATTTAGTTGATTGTAAAATTTTGTAATATTGATGACTCTGTTTGAAATTTCTAGCAAAAAAATATACTGTAAGATTCTTTTTAAAAAGATTAAAACCATTTTCAAATAAATGTAAAATAGGAAGTAATAAGCATAGTTAAATTTTGGTCTTAGTCGTAAGTTCTTTTGTAAAACGGGCCACTGCTTATAAAAAGTCTATCTGAATGTTATTAAACCGGTTTCACTAAATATGCTTCCCTTCATTGAAATCCCATTAGTGACTGAGAAAATCTTAAAACAAAAACAAAAACAAATGGTAACTGAAAAGCACGTGTAACTTGTCATTTTAGACGGTCATTCAGATATTCTAACTAATTAAAGTTCGTTATTATTAAAGAAATTATGTAATTGACGATCCAGTCTACATAAAAGTAATTACAAAGCAAACAAATGATAGTAGAAAAAGAGTTATTATCCACTTGCAAAGGAGTTGCGGAGGGGAAATGGTAACGTGCTATGTGTGTGTGTGTGATAGTTTGTCCTGTATGGGAATAGGATGTGACGTAATTTTTATTTAATTAGAATTAGAAAAGTACACTCCAAGGAAAATATAAAAAGTAAAATTATTTTCCTTGCAAAAAAATCCCCTCGTAATCAAGTTGGATAGGATATAGTAACGCTCGTATGGGGGTGGGGGTGGGGGGTGGGAGGTGAGTGAAGGGGTGCATACTTACAAAAGTTAAGTAAGTAATACTTCATATCAGGATCGATATGCTCTTTTGCAAGGGGATGCTCCGCTTTGCGGTGCCATTGTAAATCTAGTTGTCCGTAGTGTTGAAATGTTTTCCTAGTTTGCTTTCATCTTCAGTTCTTAGTCTTTATGAAACTTGAATTTCATTTGGATTTGATCTTCCTCTTTTATATTTATACCCAGAGGTAGCAAATTTTCTTTAGAGAAGCCAAAGATGATCTTTTTTCGTGACCTGCTTAGTTTACTTCATGCAAAAAAATAAAAATAAAAATAAAAATAAAAAAATAAATAAAAAAAAAAAAATAAAAATAAAAAAAATTCACACTTTGAAAGTTTCATGTCTCACTGGAAAAGTGAATAAGCCATCCATATTTCATGATCTCTTTAAGGTCCTGAAATAAAAAAAAAAATAATTTTATAAATTTTTATGAATTGTTTCCAGAATATTTGTGCTGAAATTTACCCTTTCAATGATATAGGTCTTGATCATGAACTCCAGCACTTGTTATTATTTTAAACTGTGGTATATAATTCAGGTTATGATAAGGAGCACACATGTTTAATATCTTTAGCTCAAAAAGTAGATCAAAATCTATCCCCTACTCGTGATGATCAGCAAAGTCCCAGTTAATCAGTGTAAGTTTATCACAATGAGGAGGCATTAAAAAAAATCAAGGGTTATTTCAAATAAAATACCAACTGAGTGTGCTATGTAAAAATATGACATATTAATAAAAATTGTAACCTCTTATAAAGCAGAGAGAGAGAGAGAGAGAGAGAGAGAGAGAGAGAGAGAGAGAGAGAGTGTATGTATTCCAGACATGCCCACTTCCAAATACCAAGGTTCTATCTTGCCCTGTGTTTTATCCTTGGATCTACATTAACTGTAATCTTTAAGTTGTTGCAGATATCCTCAATTATAAATGATCAGGTGGATTTTGGAGAAGGGCTGATCCGCAGTATCAAGATCGAATTCTTCCTTGTCTAGGTTTTACTCTAATTTTACTTTCATCAATGGATATGTACTATCTTTGTTTCTGACGTTTTTCATGTGACCTATACGTTTTATTGTCATTAAAAGTTGCATGTCTAATGCCAGTAAGGATAGGTACTACCAAATATATTTCGAATGCTCCAGGTGATCTCTATTTTTTCGGATAAAAGATAAAATTTAAATACTAGAGAAGGCCTATTTTAAACTCTTATATTGACTAATCTTTCTCCATGGTTGGAATCTTTATTTGACCAAGAGGGTTTAAAAATTAAAAGGAACGATTAAAAAAAAGACTAGGGAGTGCTATTTTATAAATCGACGTTTCAATGGATACTAGTATATTAAGAGAATTAGCATTGTTAGATCTTTCAAAATCGTTTATCAAGTTTTGCAGACTAATCATAAATTGTACTCAAAATACTTTTAAACGAATAAAAAGTTTCCAGGGAAATAATGTCTATCTATTTGCCCTTATATAATATGATCTTTAATGATTGAAAAATAAAGGATACGAGTACAGAGTCAATTATAAGATATTTTTCTTTTTAAAATACTTAGAGGTTGTTAAATTGACATAATTATTCATAGCTTGCTAAAACAGAAAATAAGATTCATATGAGAAAATAAAGTACTCTCATTGCAGAGCATATTTCGAGATGAATACGCAATGGACACATCTGTTGTTTTTATTGGAAAAAATGAATACGAACAAAATGTGAAAAAATTTAGAGGAAGAAAGTTGATTGTTAGTATCGAAACTATGGGGATTGTACACAAGAAATATTCTTATCAGTAGGCATTTACTTGTTAGTAATTTTGGTCTCTTTGCACTTTGAACACTGATATATCACATTACCTCACTAGAAACTACACACATGATAATGTATTGCGTTTGGCAACAATGTAGAATGAACAATCAAGATCCGGGATAGGTATGCCGAGAGGTCGAGGTGAGAGAAATAAGGTCGATTGATAAGTATGTTAACGTGAGTACTTACATGTATATGTTCTTAAGTAATTCTAAAAAGAACAACATTAGCTGTATATGGCCACTCCACCGGTATATATTTTTAAAGGGGAATTAGCTGTCAAATGATGGCAAACATTTTATTTTCTAAACTGCAGTTGCATAGAAACATATATTAATGACCAAAGAGCACATTTAGTTCGTTTAGTTCGTACAAATATGTATTAGTCAAATAAACACTTACATGTACAGTGTTATATATATATATATATATATATATATATATATATATATATATATATATATATATATATATATATATATATATATAAGTATTGAATTATTATTTTTTGAAAGAGGTAGTCTCGTAACATGCAACGGTGTGTGCAAACAAATTGAGTAAAGCTAGCTGCTAATTTGTTTTCACACACTGTTGCAGATATATGACCCTACATAATTAAAAGAATAATAATTTAATTTACATTTTTTAACTCCCTGCATTGTCTGCAAATATAATTTTATATTTCAGATTAAAATCCCTGAATTAATTTATCCTTCATGTAAGTTACAATTAATGGAAGAGCCAATGCAACAGCTACTACCGTCAGACTGATCAAAGTGAACGTGAATTCTTATATTTCCTGCACTTGCACAACCCTCAACATTTGTGACTACAAACAAAAAAATGTAAGCAGTCATTGTTTTGTAAATTTAAACTTTGCTGACAGTCAATTCATTTGAAAACAAAATAGGTATACTAGCTCTTGTTTACGTAATAAAGAATTGTTCAGCTGTAAAATGAGACTTAATTGACAGCTGGCATCAAATCTAAAAAAAAATTACTTCTCATATTGATTGTATTTAAAAATTAGTGAAATTTTCACAGTTTGGAGAAGAAAATATTACAAAGTGATGTTGCCAACTAAATTAAATTTTACCGTTTTATTTTGGGAGTAAAGTCAGGCTAAGGTCTTTATCTTTTCCTTGACATTGAGGATAAAAAATTACTGTTATAAATCACTTACTCCTATTTTAAAAGTTAATTTTTTTTTTAATTTTCATATAAATATGTTACCACTTAGGTTTTATCAGATGATATTATCAAATTGAGAATTAATTAAAATGGATACTGGCAAACCTAAATTTCCTCTATTTCTCTTATATTTTAAGGGTACATTAGTTAGTTTTTATGGTTTGTATACTTATTTTTTTCTTATTTTCACATGTGGTGAAGTAGTCATATATAGATGCAAAATAATACAAAAAAAAAGTTTGACGGTTTAATAAGAGAGAAAAAAAAAACTTTTTACTGATTCTTTGCTCAAACCTGTTCTTAGATTGGAAGCTTTCTAAAGCTAACAAGACTGTAGTTTGTTGGGAATATCATATTTATTTGATATATTTTAAAACTTTAGTCCATAACTATCAATTCAGTTACATCAGCAATTTCCTTTAAGTCTTTAATTGTTTAAAATGTTAGCGAATTCATTATTTCTGTAATAATTTTTGAGAAACAGAAAAAGAGATTTTTACATATGAAAAGAACGCAGAACAGTTAAGGTGTCAAATGGAAATATCGGCGAATTTTTTAGATAGAAAATACATTCTTTACAAGGATGGGCATTTCTTTTTAGGACTTTACTATTTTCGGACAAATGCAATGTGGTTGAAAACTAAATGTTGAGGACGATTAGATTTCTTATTAAAACTTGTCACGTGATGTGGCAGTCACGTGATTTTAGCAAATATACCTGAAGTATTGAGGTCATCTATAAATTCTAATATTGCAAGGGCATAACCAAGTTAAAAATCTAAGTTTAACATATAATTATTTTCAGCACTCTTTGTAGTTTGTGAAAAGTGCTGCGAACCTATATAGATTCTACTATCTAATTGCTAAAATTACATTTGTTAGACCGTATTTTGAATATTTTGCTGGTCAAGTACATTAAATGAAGATATAATTAATTCATTTACAAGATTTCAACAGGTTCGCAGCACTTTTCAAATATCTTCATACTTCTTGAGTTTATGTGTAAAAGCTTGTCATAATTCATTGAGGGTATGCCCTTGCAATATATCGATTT